CAGGGTGTAGCATCCTCCTTTCCAGAGGCTTGGAGTTATGCACCGTGTTTCAACAAGGCTGCAACGTCACCATGGAAGATGAAGAGTCGTGTTTTTGGCCAGAATCATGCAGAGAGGACTGGCTGACCCCTTCAGGGCCCCTGAAGAAAAAGCTGCAGACACACTCGGATCTCCCAGCCTGTGGTCCTTCCAGCAGCAGAGAGCATCTACTTCAGCTTGTCTTCTCAGCAGTGAAGATCTGAAGTTTAAACATTTTGCCATAAAATGCAGAGACATTGAATTATGACTTAATATCTTTAGTATGTTTAAGTGATGATTAATTAAGACACATAAAAACAGTATTTTAAGCTTTAAAATACATAATAGATGCTACTTGATGTGCCCTCTGGTGGAGGACCTGTGTACTACTGGTGGCTAGTCTGCTATTATTATGCATTCTTTTGCCTCAGCTTTGATGATGTGTTGCTCAGGGGAAAAAGCTCATTCAAAATGTGAAGAACGGTGAGCCCAATGTTCTTCACACAAACATCCACCAAACATTTACCTCTAAAGCTGCACTTGGTGAAAATGGATCAACCCTTTCCATCCTTATGGAGGCCCACAATTTTGTCTCTGGCATATTTAGACATGAGAGATGGCTGAACAAAAGGTGAGTTAGGCGTAATATGTCCCTTTTAAATTAGATAAATGGTTTTAAAGAGTCAGAAAATTACATTTTCAAAAAGTTTAAATGCCAAGTTCTTTAACTGCCTTTATTTCTATAATTTAATAAAATAGCATTTTATATAAAGTGGAAACAGAAACTACTGTAGTGAGAACATTTGTTCCTTGCAAAAATAGGGCCTGTAGCTGAGATTAGGATTCTCATGTTAACTTAAGTTTGCTTTTGGGAAGCTTTCTGATTGTCCTCATAATTTATTTAATAAACACGTTCATTGAGACATCTGGTGAGCATTGTCTTATGAAATCTGCCACTCAAAGATGAAGTTTGTGCAAAATCTTCTCAAGATTAAACACCTTCATGTGCAAGTTCAGAAATTTGTACTAAATTTTCTTACTGTTGGTGAAAAATGACTTGAATTCTTAAAGATGCACAAGTTAACAGGACCTGTTTTACAAAGAATTGATATTATTGATGAGCATTTGTTAGCCAAACCCATAATTTCTTGTTTCCTGATAAACGGATCATTAATCTTCATTTACAAGCTACAGACACAATAAAAACCCAAAGTACGACTCGTCTGGACCAAAATGCATCTGGGTTGTTTTGTTGTTGCCCTCCAAAAATTCTGCACTAGATTAGGATCAAAGGCATGTTTAAGATATTTAATCAAATTTGAGTTGCTTCATTTAATTACTTTGCTTCACGACTCAAACGTCTGATAAATCTAGATTTTTTTTAAAAGTGAAACAGGAATGAAATCACAAATCTGCCAGTCCTATCAAGAATAAATGTTTTCAGGTTTTTATGGTCCAAACTTTTTCTAATGAGCCAAATTTAGTTTCAGAGGGCCAAGCAACTGTTGCTAATTATTATATCTTTAGAGCCAAAGTATTCACAGAGGCATTACTGGATTGTGTTCTTTTAATGACCGTTTAAGCTCACATTATTTATGTGTACTTGTCAAAAGAATGTGGCGTGTGAAATTTCCCATCAGACAAATAACGAAAATAGGGTTTTTTCCCCACACTTAAATGGTACAAAATGAAGAAAAGGACCCAATTCAATGTTATTGCACCTAGCTTTAGATTAAAAGAATACCAATTTTATCTTAAAACAGACTTTTACCAGCATCACAAACAGACTGATGGCAGAGAGACCGTGGCTTGACTAATCCTCAGATCCTTCAAGATGCGCTGCTGTTTAAATCTTTCTTGCAGACGAAGCTCCCAGTCCTCCAGCTTGGGCCGTGTCTCTTCCTGCAGAGCAGCTGGGAGGGTGAAGGAATACAGGCAACATCTGTGATGGGGGCCTCTGTCAGTGCGCCCCAGGGCAGCTGTGGCTACATCGTAGCTCATCACCATCAGTGTGTGAATGTGTGTGTGAATGGATGAATGATACACTGTACTGTAAAGCGCTTTGGAGTCCTTACTCTGAGAGGCGCTATACAAGTGCGGGTCATTTATCATTTATCGTTTGTTCAGGGTGTCCCCCAGCTCTAAGCCATGTGACTGCTGGAGTCAGACACCATCTCTCAGATACCCGTCTCAGGAATAAGCTGCATGAAAAAAATCTATTATAAAACTTTTAACGAGGTAAAATTATAGTTATTCTTTTTTAGAATTCAAACTTCTTGAAGCTTTGTTGTTAACAGGTTAACTTTGTCTGTTGTTCAGTAGAACAACCTTCAACCCATGTGTGTGTGTGTGTGTGTGTGTGTGTGTGTGTGTGTGTGTGTGTGTGTGTGTGTGTGTGTGTGTGTGTGTGTGTGTGTGTGTGTGTGTGTGTGTGTGTGTGTGTGTGTGTGTGTGTGTGTGTGAGAGAGAGAGAGAGAGAACCAAAATCAGTGAAAAGTTTTTCAATCGGTGTGTTTGAGGGCATGCACAGCCACAGAGTGTTAATTATATAGAGTTGGTCAGATAATACACCTCTAAAAAACAAAAGATTAATAGGTATTAATATTCTATTATTTCTTATTATTATTAGGTATTATTATTATTATTATTGTTATTATTATGCTCCCAACAAAAAGCTGAGCACAGATGTTAAGACTTTTCTATAATTTCACTTATTTCCACACTAGTTCCAGTTTGACTGAACCTGAATATACTGTAAGGCAATGCAGCTTTATTTATACAGCCTTTCAAACACAGAGGCAATTCGGTGTGCTATAGTAACTATCACAGCAAGAGTGCGATGTCCCAAATAAAACCAATTTTTCTCTTCTTTTAAACTTTTTAGTAAACTTGAATTAAAAGCGAGTGGAAGTCTGGATTTTGTCATTTACGCCCTCTGATTTCTCCTCACGGCGCAGCGTGTTAAAGTCTGTGAACGTTTGAAATGCTTCATGGTTTGATGCTTTTCTTATTGTGGCCGTGGGTAGGTCTCTTGCTGGAGTGCAAAGATGGTTTAGTCTCTGTGTGGTGATAAAAGAAACAACATTTTGACATTAAAGTCCACTGAGATCATTTTAATTCAAGCATAACACTTTTGATCTGTTCTTTAGTTTTTGGTTTGTGTTTTGGGGATGCGGTAGAATTAGGTACCTGTTTTAGTGTTCCTGGGGTGAGACTGGCAGCATGCAGCGTCCAAAGAGGCACGATAAGAGTTGACGAGTGAGTGAAGAATCCCCCGATGGCATACCCCCACCATGGATATTCATAGGTGTTGTTGAACTTTAGAGGCTTGTATTCGACCAAGGAGAACAGAAATGTGCACTAAAGAAGAAAAGACAAATGAATAGTATTTAAAGAGATAAACATAAAATCAAAGTAGGAAAAGTCGATTTCACAAAAGACACTTTGGGAATGTATTAAATTTGGCTTTAAATTGTTCATATTAATTTTACAGAAATATTATTATTATACAGTTTAGTGGAAAAGTAAGCTGAGTGTAATTGCAGCAAGTATTTACTATAGAAAAGTGTAAACTTCCTCATTGGCCTCCATAACCAGCTCAGTAGCCTAGTGGTGTGAGCGTCCGCCCTAAATCCACTGTTAAACCAAACCAATGACTCTTAAAAATTGGACCCAATGCCATATGTTTTCTCCAATAAGGGGTTCAGTTGTGGGGCTTAATCACCAAATAATTCCCGAATGCAGCTGTGTCTGCAGCTCACCACCCCCCAGGGAATAAGTCAAATGAAAAGAACTAATTTCACCAGTGAGTGATGACTAATGGGACTTTATATACAATGAAGGCTTCCCATCATTTAAAACATGCAGGACAGTGGAGCCCACGGACCAGGGTTCCCTTACAATGGTTCTATGGCAACACCATATTTAACCCTCAGGAGGCAAGCGTTGCAGATTTGCAATGCTAAAACCTACCTGGTTACTCCACATACGTATTTCATGAGCATTTTTTAACTCAGAAGTACCCCTGAAGGACGTAGTTGTTCGTCCTTTTATCAAAACTTATTTTGAGCCTGAGAGGGTTAAAGAAGCCTTTGTTTTTCCTGATTTCACACCAACAACACCGTCTGGAAATTCACCAGCCACGCAATAATCTTCTGTTTCTCGTCTCTGCTTTGTTTTCAAGTTTTTGTTTCAATGATTTTGCCCAAGCAGAAAATCCTCTGCACTGGAAGCAGAGTAAATGATCTAAATCCACGTGTAATTACTGTTAATAATATTTGTCATTGACCAAAGGATGAGTAACAGGAAGATATTTATGGAAAAATCAACAAAATTTGAATCACTAAACTACAATATTTGGTCTGCTTAATCTGTAAAATATCCATCTTGTCTTCAGGTTTCTCTTAATTCACAAAGATAAAGAGTTGTCAGCATGCTTTTGTGTTGTATCACAGGATAAAGTTAAAGTTTAGAACAAGTTCAGATTCAAACAGCCTCTAAGTTTCCCTGAAGGAGACGAAAGCACAGATGCATAATCAGCACATACAATACAGATAGCAGGTGTGAAGTACTTCCAACAGTATTTCATAAAAGGCCAAGGACGATATCCAATCATGTCCTTTATATTAACATAGTGACAATCTGCACCTGAAACAAAAGACTTATATAATTTTGTTGCCTAAAAAGTTGGGACACAATATAGAAAATCATCCAACAGTGAACAAAGTTCAGACTGTACCCTACCGTAGACCCATCCAATACAGACCGACTGAAGAACAGCAAAAAGTGAAAGCGTCATCCCACTGCAGGCATAGTAGTCAAAGAGCTGGAACACATAAAGGCGTCCCTGCAAACATAAAACAACAGATTATTTTACTGCACGTCAACCACGGACCAAATAAGACACAGCTACTAGAAGAAAACTCTCAACAGGTTATCGTTATATCTGATCAAACATCTGGG